TACTATTCTAGAGAATAAATAACTGCACAATAATTAAACTCTTCTAAATTTAAGAAGATGACTTTTTTTACCATATTGTGCAGAGAAATGAAACTATAACATCGTTAAGGGAATACTGAAGTGGGCAATAAGGAAGAAGAATGCGTGGATGGAGGTTGATGAATGTTGATTGGAGGAGACAGCTTAGGTAACTATGAAGAAGGGTAGTCAGACCATGCCCTACGTCTTGTTCTTTATACTTTGTGAAGGCCATGAGGTGTACAGGAAAGATCAGATGATCTACGTGATTGGGGAGGTGGAGGTGGTTGTCAGTGATTCACATGAAGGGAGGCTTGCTTCAGGGTGTTTGCATGAAATGTACGGCAAGGGCCATGAGGTCCAGTCTAGTGACTGGTCCAATCCAGGTTATAACAATTTAAACTTGAGAATTGACTGGGTTAAGAAAAAATGGAAGCAAAGCAAGAAATGGTGGAAGATGTTTGTTTTTACTGAATTTTGTAGTATTTAATGATCTACTCTTATCTATGTGGAAGTTATTTAAAGACACCTTAGACGGGCGATGCTATTTTGTCTTGTAGCAATATTGAAGTTGTCATCATAGCATGTTGGTTCCTGTTGTTGACTAGGTATTCCATTTTATGGAAGGGTGAAGCATTCTATTTAGTATTAATTGGGCTTATCTTTTGCCATATTCATTTTAAAATAGCGCCATGGTTTAGGTGAAGATACAAGAAGTAATGTGTTTTTGAATTGAATTGTTGCATGAGGTCGTCACCTATGAGACTATATGATTTTAATTAGATACACATTACATGCAATTTTATTCAGTTCTTATTCATTAAAATTTCAAATTTCAGTTTCAATGTTGTATGTGCCTATTGAATTTGAGATTCTTTCAAGTGCGATATGAATGTGACTATCTGATTCTAAGACATCATCTCTTTGTAATGGTGTGTGGCTTGGATCTTCTAGATGATGGCAAGTTCTTTCCCTTAATTTTACTCTCTGGTTTTTCTGTGTTTGGTAGTGAAGATTTCTAGTTTTGTTTCAATTTTTATATAGCTAGATGTTCTACTGTGACAAAAGTTTCCCTTTTTCTTACTGATTGTTTGAATTTCTTATTATTTCCTTTGAATTTAATCAATCATTTCTTCATTGATTGGTTAAATTTCTCAGATTTCTGAGTTTACATTAAAGATAGCATTTTTGGCGGTGTATTTAGAGGTCTTTGCTCTGTGAATTCTATTGTTTTTGCTATGATCTAAATCCATTTGATAATTTAATTACCTTAAAATCTTAAACCCTATGACAACTAGCATATCATCACAGAATATGTTATTTCAGTTGGAAATCTCTTCTTGAGAGCTGAGCATTCACAATTCTTTGTTATGCTGAAGAAACTGAATTGTTTATGTTAGAAGTTATATTAGGACATAATTTATTCCTATGAGAAGTTATGAGGAATAAATTATTTTCTTGCATTCCTATTTTATATTTATTTCCTTATATTATGAGTTACTTTCTTTCCTATTTTATATTTATTTCTTTGGATTGGATTTATTCATTTTTCTTTTTTAGGCTTTCATATTTTATGTTGTTTCATTTATCTCCAAAATAATTAGTATGAATTGATTAATTAAAGATATTAGGAACTATATCTTTTTTTTCATATTATTTCCTTTTTATTTTCTTTCCTTTTCTAGGATTCACGTAAGGTTTATTTGTACCTCCTTTCAAATCAATGAATAAATTCTTTTTTATTTCACATTATTCTGAACTTCAACATTGTATCAGAGCCAGATTTCGTACTTTACCCACTGGTCGTCTCGTCCTTCGAGCACCGCCGGACTCCCTTCCTGTCATTGTCCTTGCAAGAAGGGAGGGACTCTCTCCCTCGAGGCCCTCGCCGCCGCAACAAATCCCTGCATATCCTCCTATCCCACACGATTTTGAGGTTCGGTGGCCTTTAGAACAGTAAGAATAGACCGACTGGTGCAGAGCGGGAGCTGTCACCCGCATAGAGCGGGAGTTGCGACCTGAGCAGAGCGGGATTTTTGACCTGCGATCCCATTGCACTTGCCTATGTCACTTGCACCTGCACTAAGCCAAGCATTGCTCATTTTTTTCCCTTTCTAATGGAAATCTCTTTCTGGTGGAAATCCCATTGCCAAGAGGAAAGAATGAGAGGAGCCATTGTGTCTGATCTCTTCACGGAGATGTTGATCTCGGCGGCAGCTGTGATCGGGATTGTCTTTGTTCTAATTTAGTTTCTGCTCGTCTCTTAGGTTTAGCTCACGCCTGACCGGCAAACTGCATCGCCGGAGGACAATAAGAATGGGACAGGAGAATATCTTCTCGAGGAGGAAGAGGGCTCGAACGAGCATAACTTTTTTGTCAAGTGCGCCAAAATTTAGAGTTGTTTCCGAATGAGCTACATCTTTCCTGTTTACTGTGTATAAGTATGTGGGGATCTTTATGTTTGCATTTGCTGTTTTGATCTTTCTCTTCTTTGGCTCTGTCAAAGGATTCAACACAAAGCAGAAGTAACCTTGCACTTACATCAAGGATACTTACATCAAGGATAAAACTTTGGAAATCGGCACCTTCTAATGCGATTTTCAGCACAATAGCTTTCTTGTTGGGTGTGGTTACGTCAGTGGCTTCCGGTTTTCTGGTTTTCTGGTTTTCAGTAGTTCGGCTTTCCTGATTTCCTGTAGATTTTTAGTAGTACAACTTCCTGATTTCCAACAGTCCGGCCATCCTGATTTTTCTGATGTCCTTACCGTTGGAGGTGTAGCTGTCCAGCCGCCTTCCTTGTAGGTCATTCCCGCTATTTTTTGGCACCAGTTCTCTACAGCAATCCGGCTTCCTGGTTTCTACTAGTCCGACTTCCTTGGTTCCTTGAGTTTCTTGTTGGGCTTCACCGCTCTGGCTTCCATTGTGTGGTTGAATGCTGCATCTAGGGTGGATTTTGATGGAGAGGCTAATGTGTCTTGGTCTGATGCTTCTTCATCTACCTCTTCGCTGTCTTCATGCCAATTCAATCATTGGGCGTCCAAGGACTCTAAAATGAGTTTTGGTGAGCATTCCCTCTCAGCTGTTGGTCAGCTGTCCCTGTGAATCCTCTTGACATCGCTAAGATGAGGCTATAGACGCAGGCAACAGGAGCTTATTGTTATCATCCACCACAGGATTTTGGAAGCGGTGCGCGTCCCTTGGCCTTAACACAATGCTATTAGAGTTCAAATGTTCTCCATCATGCACCCATCGTGGAATATTTGGCGCTGATGCAGTTTGTTCTATTGTCCCTTGGCCTTAACACAATGCTATCAGAGTTCAAATGTTCTCCATCATGCACCCATTGTGGAATATTTGGCGCTGATGCAGTTTGTTCTATTGATTGTTTGTCAGTACAAAGGAACTTTTGATGTTTCCACAAAGTCATCAGACAAGAAAGGAGTTTTTAGATTGTACAAATGTTGGGTTAGCATTGGCCATACCAAGTATTGGCAATTATTTGCCATTTTATGATATATTCTGCATCTGGATTGGATGGTGCTATATATGTATGGGATAGGTGACTCAGCAATCTTCCATGTCGAAGACTGAATTCTAGCTTTCAGAGCCCTCTTAACAACATTGAATCAGATATTGAAGATCAATCGTCCATGTCGAAGACTGAATTCTAGCTTTCAGAGCCCTCTTAACAACATTGAATCAGATATTGAAGATCAATCGTCCATGTCGAAGACTGAATTCTAGCTTTCAGAGCCCTCTTAACAACATTGAATCAGATATTGAAGATTAGGTTTTTTCCGGAGCTTTCCCTGTTGTAGACCTCCGGAACCTTTTTCTGCAGCTGACTTTCTTCTGGAACTTTGTCACTGCAGCAGGCCATCCACTTGAATTTTTCCTGTAGCACATCCTCCTTCAGAATCTTTTCCTACAACGATGCCTACCTCCTGATTACTTTTCTGCAGGTCGTACTCTGCAGCTTTTCCTTTTAGTTGTTTTCTTCCCTGCAAACTTTCCTGCAACATTGTCTGTAGGAGTCTTCCGTCTACCTATAGACACTGCAAAAATTGTAGTAAAAAACAACCACAGCCAACTTGAAGTCAGTTTTTTCTGTTGAATGTCTACTTCCCTGCAAACTCCTCTGCAAACTTATCTGTAGCCTTCCACCTACCTGCAGACACTGTAGGAACTGCAGTCAAAGACAATCGTAGTACGGGACGAAGACTTCAAGTTCTACCTCTCAGGATCTTTTTGCCCATTGATTTTTTTAAATCCAAGTTAAACATTGTTTTCAATTATGTTTCCATGTTTCAACTTGAGGGATAGTGTTAGGAGTTATATTATGAAATAATTTATTATTGTGAGATGTTATGAGGAATAAATTATTTTATTTATTTCCTATTTTATATTTATTTCGTTAGACTAGGAGTTATTTCCTTGGCTTAAAGTTATTCATTTTCCTTTTTAGGCTTTCATATTTTATATTGTTTCCTTTATCTCCGAAATAATTAAGATGAATTGATTAATTGGAGATATTTATATTTTTTCTTTCATATTATTTTCTTTTTATTGTTTTTTTCTGTTTTAGGATTCATGTAAGGGTTATTTATATCTCCTCTCATGTCAATAAAATAAATTTGTTTTATTCCGCATTATTTTGAACATGAACAGTTTCTTTACAACACAGAAAGTTCTGTAGATCCTTGGGTGGGAATAAGTTTCTATGTTTCATTATTTTCTTTACTTTTCTTTTCATAAAATAAAATAAAGAAAAGTGCTTATTAACATGAAGTTGTAAATTGATGAACATTGTAAATTCAATCTTGGCTGTCATGGAGACATTTTCTTAAATGCTTTGTGGAATTTTGTTATATTTATATCTTTGAGAACTTTTTTATATTTTCAAGACCTCTACTGTTTCATTGTAAGGTATTGACTCATTAGACAGTGTCATGGTATGGTGACTTGTGTTTATTACTATGCAGGAATTGACTCCAAATCAGCTTCAGGAAGGTTAGTCTACATTTTATTCCTGAGTTATAATATTTAGATATGGAAATGTTCTGATACCAAGAATTCTCATGAATGTTTAACAGCTCTTTGCAAAACATTCTCTGGGAAAAAGAGAAAAAGCAGACTTCGAAAAGCTTGGGATGGTAGCAAAGTTATTTATAACGTGGCATCTTGGAGTGCTACAGCTTTCGGGTAATGAATATGTGCCTTCCTTTCTCTATCTGTTGTATGATCGTGTTTTATGAATAAGTAATGCGAATAATTGGAATTAATGCGAGGAATAAAAAGTAAAAATGATTGATCAAAGCTAACCTCATTAGAAGTTTTGCAATCTTGAGCACAATAGTATTGACATCCCGTGTAGTGTTCGGCAAAACATGAATTAATGTGGGGGATTTCTAAATTCAAACTCAAATAACTGGCATAAGGTTAATGATGATAACTAGATAGTAGTGTTAGAGTTTCTATTTATTCTGAATCCTGAATACTATTCAGTTCACATTTCCGTGGCCCTTTTCCTTGTTTGCTTTCATTTGTCTAGTCTTCTAATTTCAGTGTTCTTACCCACTTAAATAGAAAATTTAAACTTCCTTAACATGTCTCTGTAATTCAAGTCATTTGTTGGCCTTGTATCAACTTTGTAAAATATCTAAGGTCTCAAGGAAGAAAAAAGAACATTTTACATGGTGAGGAAAACGTTACCCCTGTGTTCGTCAGGAATAAAATCATTTTATTTTTATCAACCAAAATAATGAAAAATAAATACGGAAGCTTTTCATAAAGTTTAAGGAACTCGTGCTATTGAAAATAAGAAATGTTGCATCATAATATCTGGGATATTTATTAATTTTCTATAACAAGGTCGATGGACAAGAAAATGGTTGTTGAATTCAATGAATTTTGGTTCCTATATTTTTCAATTGAAAACCTGAAAATAAATGCCTTCTTTTTTGGGTATTTTAAGAGTTCTAAGAGCAGATTCTATTGGAAAACCTGATCATAATGAAAAAAAAAAAAAAAAGTTGAATTCAATGAATTTTGGTTCCTATATTTTTCAATTGAAAACCTGAAAATCAATGCCTTCTTTTTTGGGTATTTTAAGAGTTCTAAGAGCAGATTCTATTGGAAAACCTGATCATAATGAAAAAAAAAAAAAAAAAATTCTATTCCACTCCATATGATGAAAGCCTAGCTGCAGAATTACTTAATTTTATGCCATTTAGTATACAATGCTTCTATCTATCCTGTCATGTCCCTCACTTGTGCGTGATATGCTAAAGCCACTAGAAGTATAATGATCGAGGAAAAAAAAAACATATTTGACAGCCATTAATGGCAACCCGACGTCAACTGTTACAATTTACCCTACATAATATGCTTTTCTGTGAAACAGCAAAACTTATTTCCATTTTGGATCCAGCATTCGTATATTCGACAATGTTAAAAATAGTTGAATAACTGATGATTATTCCATGTTCCTTAAATTGTTTAAAGCTCAATTATATAGTTTTTTTTAGAACTTTTTTCTCTTTTCCTTTTATTCCATATCAGCATATATCAAAATCCGGCATTGCTTAGAGCTGCATCAGTGGTCTTCTCTACTTCATTCCGTGCAATATCTAAATTACTCTAAGAAGGCTCTTGTAACTTTGCACAAAAGCTTGTACGAAGCCAGAAATGGCCTTGTGTGCTGATGCGGTCCATCTTCTAAATCTTCTGTAAGCAGCAGCGGCAAGCAGCAACCAAGAGCACCTACTTCCACAAATAACCTCTGTAAATTCGTAATATAAAGAACCAAATCTGCGTCGTTACTTCTGCTTGTTATGGCCTTATTTTCTTATTAACCGTTTTAAGTGCCTCCTTTAAATTCACTTACGTAAATATGCCCCTGTAAACTATCTGGGTTAGATGCAAACATTAACTTAGGCCATTCTTCGAAGGATAATTTATCGGATATTGCATTGATTTTTTGAAGAAAGCCATAATATAATGCAAAATTAATCACCTGTTCATCCTGACAAATGTCCGGTAGAAAGAAGAACCGTGTCATTGAAATAATATTTATTTGATTGCAATTTTCAAAATATCGAGGCAGCAAAGCATTCATCATAATTTTTATTTACATGGCATCATGTAAATCCTCATGTTGATCTCTTCTGTAGAATGAAAAATTATTCTATACGGGCATCGTATGCAGAAATGCATTCGGTGTCCAATCTTCACCGTTCATCACAACAAAAATATATTTCAGTGGACCCTGTTTAATATATTTTTTAAAACTTGATGGATAGTGAAGATCGGACACCATAAGAATTTATGGAATAATTTTTCAAAATACACTATTAATATACCATCCACGCGGATCATTTTAATCAAATGATCTTTTATTTTTTTACGATTATTTGTTATTTAAATTGAAGTCATGAGGGTCAGATTTCTAATGGGGTTCGTTTTGTTTTTTATTTTTTTTTATTTTTGTTTTATTTATGTTTTGATATGCATTAAATAAGTTATGTCTCATTTAATGCTTTAAAGGTTATATGTATTTTTAAAGTTATGACTTGCAGTATACCAGAGCCCAATTTCATTGTCAAAAATCCTCTACAAGTTAGTTTTTATTTTCATGCATTTACTGATATTTTTAACCAACTCAATTTTGTGCTAAAACATTTTTAAAATACTTAAAAACTTAAGTTTGTGGGAAGAAAATTTTCTTTAAAAAAAAGAAGTAAAAAAAATTTTATTTTTCCTGTCGGCACTATTTTTGGTGTGGGGTTTGCCCGTAAGAAGCCGTCGGTCATCAGTATAGAAGGTGGTAATTATGTTTTTTTTTTCTTATTAGTATGCAATAATTCATTTTTATTTATAGAAGTATGGCTAAATTTTGTGTGACATTGTAATTTTGTTTTAAGGTCCATTTGGGGCGGCGGTATAGTGACACACCAAAGTTTTTTTTGTGTTGAAATGTGCTTTGCTTGTTTTTTTTTTAAAGTTGTAGTTGTAAAAGTTATAGCTGAAAGTTTTGTTTTGTAATTGAACTTGAATACCTGCGATGACTAATAAAAAATAATGGTCTGACATTAAAAATAAAATTATAATAGACACCGTAATTTTTTAAACAACAGTTTCTCTCGAGTAGTTTAACGACTATGTTTTCAAACAATTGTCCCAAAAAGTGTTCCAAATAGATTCTTAGTATATCTTTTTTTCCTCCGCATCTTTTGTGTTATGTGGAATAAATAATATAATTTAGTATACAAATCTTATGCATGTACATATTTCACATCTATTTTTCCATATTTAAACATATCACTCAAATCCTTAGTATCACATCAAAATAGCACTATTATCATTTTTAAAAGTAAAATATATTTTTTCGTGCACATATTTAAAACATCAAAGTGTTATGTATTTATATATGAAATTTTGAGTGTGAGATATGCAAATACATAAGAATTTTGTTATACTTATGTAAATTTCCCTAGAATCTATCAGACCTTATTTTTAAAAAAATTAATTTACTTCACGTTATATAATAATTGATTGACAATCCAAGTAATGAATTTATTTCTAAATAAACTTTTGTAATTTTAAAGATCAAATGAAAGATACCTAACTCAATTTTTTTTCATTTTTCCATTTTTTTTTTGTATTTCTACCAAAAAAGAAAAAAAAAACAAAATTGGGGTATTTGACTTTTGACTTTTAATTAGTTGCATATTTTTGCCACTTCAACTCTAAGCAATCACCAAAAAAATTATTTTTTTTTCTGCTTCTCATGGCGTGCTATCTTTAAAGTTTGGCAATTAACCACAACTCAATTTGCAGCAATTCTCACTATTCTACATTCCCACATTACATACAAAATCAGATTTCCTTCTCTTTCAACCAAATCCCAATTCTATGAATCCCACTTCCTCATCACAAGATCAACAATCTTTCTTCTCAAAATGCTCATCCTTCCTCTTCCTCCTCCTCCCCATTCTCCTCATCCCCCTAATCCTCCTCCACCTCCAATACCTCAACCCCTCCCTTACATTCTCCTCCTTCCCGTCCCCCTCCCCCTCCCTTTCCCACCTCTCCAACCAAACCCTCGTCCTCTCCCATCTCCTCCTTCCCCTCCCCCTCTCTTTCCCACCTCTCCAACCAAACCCTCGTCCTCTCCATGCTCCGCCACTCCATCACCTTCCTCCCCCTCAAAGACATCCGCCTCTCCCACAACCCCAGGGCTGGCAACACCTGGTTCATCAGCTCCCTTCCCGACTCACCCGACTCTCCTGGCGAGCCTTCCTACCTCCTCTTCCCCTCCACCTCCACCAACAACCGCCTCCTCTGCCTCTCCGCCTACGATCCCCACGACGGCTCCCGCAACTCCTACTCCCTCGCATTCCCCGAAGCCCTCCCTTACAACTCCACCTTCCTCCCCGGCCTCACCTTCGTCTCCGACACCTTCTACGACTACACCAACCTCTGGCACGGCCTCGCGGCCATCCTCCCCTTTGCGCGGTGGCACGAAGCGAACGGATGCGCGAAGCCAGAAAGATGGCTTCTTTTTCACTGGGGAGAGGTGAGGAAGGAGATGGGAATGTGGGTGAGGAGTTTGGCGGAAGTTTCGACGGGGGGGAAGGTTAGGATGGTGGGAGGAGAGGAGGCGGGGAGGGTGGTTTGTTTGGAGGAAGCGGTGGTGGCGAGGCGGAACGATGTGGGGATGAGTGAGGAAAGGAAGGAGAAGGTGTATGACATGATGAGGTGCAGGGCGAGGGATCATTGTGGTTTGGAGGGGAAGGATGGAGGAGCTTTGGGTGGGATTAAGATGACTTTGTTGTTTCGGGTGAGGAGCAGGTCGTTCAAGAATGAGACGGCGGTGGCCGGAGTTTTTCAGAGGGAGTGCGGGAGGGTGGAAGGGTGCAGCGTTAGGCTGGTTCGGCTCAGGAATTTGACTTTTTGTGATCAGGTTTGGTTTTTCCTCTTCATTTTTTTTTTGCGTTGAGATATTTAAATAGTTAGAACACAAATCTTATGTATTTAGATACCTCATTCGGAATCAAATTAAGGAATTAGTATTTAATTAGTGAGATTAGTGAGTTTTGGGAGAAATTGGAGGGATTAATTAAGCAAAACGCCTTTCGAGGACTTCGGAATCGAGAGGGTTCACATGCATTTTATTGTGACTTTAATTATACGTACATTTTAATCAATACAAATTAAAATTATAATATTAAATGCTATAAATATAAAAATTAACTATCTTTCGATGACTTCAAATCGAGGATTCATATGCATTTTTATTAGTTTAATCATACGTGCATTTTAATAAATACAAACTAATTTATAACATCAAAGTGGCATAAATATAAATATCAAAATTTAGATATTAGATATATCAATAAATTAGAATTATATGGTGTATATATATGTAAATTTCTCTACTCATTAATAAATAAATAAATAAAATTTAGAAAAAATACATTCACGGAAATATTTAAGGAGATAAAATCAGAGCATTTACTTCTTATGTATTTATATAATGGACATTTAAATTTATTTTTTTATATTTATAACATTCAATTTTTTATCACCTCAAAATATAATATCAGTATTATTAATTTTTTTCAAAAATGAGACACACTTTTTTAAATATATATAAAGTGATATAGGTAGAAAAATAGGTTTTAAATATGTAAATATATCAAAATTTTATAATGTGTATTTTTTGCGTGCTAGAATATTTACAGTTATGGAGTGCTAATTTAACGTCATAGTATTACAAAAAGATTCAACACGCATACAAATAAGAGAAAATTTATGAAATAAATACCGAGATTTGTTTACATGATAAAATTCTATAAAAGTAAAAAATCACAAGGTCTGATAATGTTAAAATAATTCACTATATATATAATGAGTACATAAGTCTACTTTTCACCTTGATTATGGAAGATGAAAATACATGATTATATTGAAATCATAATCCTTTTGAAATAACTTGATATATATAAATTATATAAAGATAGTTGAGTAAACTATTATATTTTGAATACAATTATCATGGAGAGCCTAGATTGTCATAGTTGACGACAGAAGCATAGTTGCATAAGGCTACAATAGACAAAGTATGGTGATCAAGACTATAGTTGGTGGTAGTGGACAACTATTGGTTGACGATGACCTCTTGGGGTTAATAATAACCTTTAGTGCTCAACATCAAACTCTGGTGGTTGGTCGTGATCTCGAAAGACCGAGAACAATCACAAAAACTTTAGGAGTTAAACTCTGGTAGTCAAGTCCTTCTCCTCTTCTCCCCCTCTCAAGTGAAAAATGGGGTTTTATTTATTTTTTTTAAAGGGGTATTTTATTAAATTTGATCAATCTCTCAAAACACTTCATCGGACAATCCACATTGATTTCCTCGATCACTTTTATGTTTTTAATATTTAAGTTTCTTAAAGACATAAATGATGTTAAGTTCATTAGTTTCTTATGACTAAAATGCTCAATTTGACTATAAGCAAATCAAGTTTTGAGATTATTTGGCTATCCAATTAATATACCGAAGTCTTCACAAGACATCAATTTTTTTTATTTGGGCTGATTTAAACTCATATTATAATAAATTCAATGGTATTGGGTTTGTCTTGTCAAAACACCCACTTTGAATATAAGCTTGTTTAAATGAGGCCAGTTAATCTTGATTTTGATTTCAAACTGTTTATCTGTCAAAATAAGATTTGTAATTTATTTATAACACAGAGTTACGTAACTTTTCTTGTTTTAATAACATAGAATATAATTTAAATTGAATAATTAGAGCAATTAAATATTAATTTTAATTTATGGTTAAAATAAATTAATATTAAGATAATATATCATAGCTTAAATGATTAAAACCTTACAGCACCAAATAATAAATTAAAAAAAATATATACATGATGTATTTATAATATTAATTTTTTTTTTAACTAAGAATTTTTTTAATAACTATTAAAAAGTAATAAAATTATTTTTAGAGAATTTTTTAAATGGATGATTCAATTATTTATTTTCTTGCAAAATTAGTCAACTATCAATGATTAAATGATAAATACATCTAAAACTAACTAATCAAATCAAGAATTAAAACCAAAATGTAATAATAAGCTTCCAGCTTATTTTATTTTCCCGGCGCGACTATCATACTTAACACTTACAGGTGAAACTGATGGCCGAAACAGACATCCTCGTCTCCCCTCACGGGGCGCAGATGACCAACATGATCTTCATGGACAGGAACAGCAGCGTGATGGAGTTCTTCCCCAAGGGGTGGCTGGAGTTAGCCGGCAGCGGCCAATATGTTTTCCGTTGGCTTGCCGACTGGGCCGGCATGAGGCATGAGGGCCAGTGGAGAGATCCCAACGGAGAAACCTGTCCCTTCGATGACAAAGACCGTTGCTTCACCTTCTACAAAGACGGATCTATTGGACATGACGAGGTCTTCTTCTCCCAGTGGGCCGCTCGGGTTCTACGAGAAGCTAAGATGCGAAAACTGAACGCAGCGTCGGAGAGGAACAATGGGCACAAAGGGGATGCAGGCATTAAGGCATGTTCCTCGTGTGGTTAGCACAAATATTGCTATGTATTTACATGTCTAGCACCGGAAGAGTCATATTTACATGGATACCACTCAAATCCTTACATCACATAAACATTGTCACTATCATGTTCTTTTTAAAAGTGAAATAGAGCCAATTTGTTGGAAGTCTAAAAATCAAACTTTGGGTGTTAGATATATAAATAAATAAGAATTGTGTTTTATAAAAGTAAATTTTGTCCTTTTGTTTTCAATATATAGATGGGGGATTGTGAGGCTAGTATAAAAGGAACTAGGCAATTGAAATGCTTGTCTCCTAGCTTTATAAATTGTTAGGTGCAGAGGCTTTTGGTGAGAATATCAGCCAAGTCTTGAGTTGCAATGTGTCATGCTAGGAGATCTTGTTAAGAGATGTGATAGTACTAATATAAGTTTGTTTGCAGTATTGTAGAATGTGAAGCCTTATTGTTTTAGAGGGCTAGAGAAGGTTGGGTATCCTTTTTGTCCTGATTTTTTTTTGCTAGTAGATCGCTTTGCAGAGGAAGCAACGAAGCCCACCGGTTGAGTCATTGAGATCATGTCTCTAGTCTTCAGCGAAATGCATATGAATCATCTAGCTAAAGTACTTTTTTAATTGGAGTGTAAAGCAATGGTCAATATGAATTTGATGGTCATCACTTTAGCAATGAGGCTGAAAATTTCATTATATTTTTATCTTATATACTTGTTTGAAGCCTTACATTATTGGTTAGTTTTCATGACAGGCATTGAAGCCATCTAAGTTTAGCTTTATTTTGGACGTCCAACTATGAAAAAAAATAGTTTTATGTTGAGGAGACATCATAACATCACATAAGCCCTATTGCTCCTGAATAAGAAATGTTGTAGATATACACCAGTTGATATGATATATATATAAATCAAACAGGAGAACGATCAACAAAACGAAAAAAAGAACGAGAAAATTCACTCCAGAAAACAGTAATACATCGAAACACACAGATTTACGTGACTCGACAACTTGCCTACGTCGATGGAGTTGTAGAGGATTTTACTACTTGAGGAATTTACACCAGTCGATCGTCTCAACTTATAAGAGGAATCTCTCACTTCATTTCTCTCTCTTCTTCTCTCTCTGTTATTCTCTATCTATATCGAGATACACCGAAGAAGACAAACTTACAAGAGAAATAAACCTAATTTCTCTTCTCCCACAAGCCACCAAGAAGAAGTCAAGGGAGAACAATCTTCTTTATCTTCTTTCTTCTTCCTTCACCGCAAGGAACTACATGCTTGCACTTTCCTTCTTGTATCCCAAGGAAACCTTCCTCTATCCTGAGGAAGCCCGAAGTGAGGAAGCCCGAAGAAGAACACCAAAAAAATCATGAAGGAGAGTCGCGCGATACCTTTTATCGCGAGGAGGAGGGAGCGAAGGGATACTTCGCTTCATAACAGCGGAAGACGGGAGTGACTGACGCCTACGGTTTGCGAATCGACGTCAGGCAGGAGCGGGTCGCTATTGTTTCGCGATCGACAGAGGGAGCTGCGTGACAGAGCGAGGGAGCTGCGTGACAGAGCAGGAGACGCGGCTCTTCGCGAAGCTGAGGGAGGCGTGATGATCGGGCAAAGCGAGGGCTTCGCTTCGCGAAACGTGACAGAGCGGGAGACGCGGCTCTTCGCGAAGCTGAGGGAGGCGCGATGATCGGGCAAAGCGAGGGCTTCGCTTCGCGAAACAAGAGGTTGGGGAGGTAGCGGTTCGCGGGTTTAATTGGGCCCAGCTGACAAGAAATTGTTAGAACATGGATAACTACTGATAAGGACGCTTCATGATATGAATATAGCAGGCGAGTTCAAATAAGGAGGTGAGGTGATGATTTAGATTAAGAATTTGTCTCAATTTTTAGCTTGTTATTTGGGATGGCTGTGCAAGGGGTGATGTGATAGTGTGCTAGTTAGGATGTTCAAGTACGGTGGAGGTTATTCTGGGTGAAATGCATCGTGTGAGAGAGTTACACTTGATGTTAGGAGGGTGTAAGGGAGAACTTGATGGTTCTTAGCATATGGTTGTTGAAGAGGGTCAATGTACGGAGCATAAGTGATATGTTGTTTATATGGGAAGTTGGTCTCATTAAACACAATTGTTGAATTCAAATATATCATGTCGATCATACTAATGGTATAGAGCATAGGACGGACGAGTGAAATAAAGGGAGAAACATGAAGATTGAGAGAGAAAGAGAGGCATGACTTATATACCAGATAAGGGACAGATTCTGGAGTGCAACAGAGCTCGCGAGTGGAAGGCGTTCTGCCGTTGGTCGGCCCTCTCAATTAAATTCTGAGTAGAGACCCTTTTGTTATTAGGGTGAACTTTGACCATTAGGCAGAGAGTGTACCACCATAATTTGACAGACGACTCGCCTTGGATAAGGAGCCTTCTCAGAGGTCCAGAAAGACATTCTGGAATCGGCTGATGGAGCTGATCATGATCGACTGTCCTCTGGATTTGGTGTCCTCTATCTCTCTGTTCGACTGTGCATCTGTTCGATCGGCTCAAAGTTCTAACCGAATGAATCAACTCTTGTTGTTTACGTCTATTGACCATCCCACTATACCATCCTTTGGTATTTACAAGTGAAATCAGTTAGCGTGTGGACATATTTTTGAGGTACAAATATATTACTGTATATGATTGCTTTTTTGAATTTTAGATCAAAACTGATTGCCTTTATATGTCTGGGATTGACCAATGAGAATATAATGAGAAAATCATGAGGAGTTTATTGAAGAAAAGAGGATTTGCCATAGGAGCTCATGTTAAGCCAAAAAATTGAAAGATGGGCATAATCTTTTTTAGATGATTAAAAAAAAAATATACAAGGGGATGTGTCTAGAAGTGATAAGGCGATATATATATATATATA